ACACACACACACACACACACACACACACACACACACACACACACACAGAGTAACTTCACTTTGTGCCTATGAGCTCTCAGGTCTGTTCTTTTTGGTTGTGGCTGCCTGTTTATTTGGAGAGTCATGTACATGTTGATTGTGGACAGCTGTGTAAAGTGGGAAGCTAAAAACAGGCCACACAGCCCGACCAGTAGTCCCCACCATGATCCCCACACGAGGAGCAGCAATGTTAACTTGCTCTCAGTCTCATGAGGAGTCTAAAGACGTCCTTCCCAGTGTCTCTGGGACTGGGTCTGTATCTTGCCAACCCTGTCAGGAACAGACACTCTTTGCCCATCAAGTCCTGTGGACTTGGGAGCATCTGTCTTTGAACCATGCAGCTTGGAGAGCAGGCCCCAAGCTGCATCCTGCTGCAGCCAGTGGCCTGCCAGATTTGTCAAGCTCCAGGAGTCTTGGCTCTGGTATTACTTTCCTGTTCCTGCTGTAATAAATACCACAAACAGTGGCGTAAAGCACCTCATATCTTTGCTTGTACAGTTCTTGGATGTCAGAAGTCTAAAATGGGCTACATTCTTTCTAGAAGTTCTAGGAGAACATCCACTTTCTTGGCTTTCTAATTTCTAGCTTCCTTGGCTTGTGCCTTGGCATCACATCATCTCTGACTCTTACCCTACCTCCATCCCTTCTGATTACATTGGGCCTAGCTGGAGAATCCAGGCCCATTTCTCTCTTTCAAGGTCCCTCACTTAATAGCATCTGAAAATCTCTTTAGCCCTGTAAGGTAGCATATTCATAAGGTAGCATATTCATAGCTGGAGAATCCAGGCCCATTTCTCTCTTTCAAGGTCCCTCACTTAATAGCATCTAAAAATCTCTTTAGCCCTGTAAGGTAGCATATTCATATTGGCAGGGGGAAGGAGTGACTTGCCTGAAGCCTGAAAACTCCCTACATCTCAGATAAAAATCTATGGAAGTGAGTAGATGTGGTGGATCCCAAGCCATTCTGGTTGAGATATGATTTATGTGACTCTGGAAAGGCTTTCTAAATTCCCCCCTGCAGATATCTCCCTAACCTGGCAACTCTTGTAATCCTCCTCTTAGGGGTAAATCAGCTTTATCCCCACTGAGGAGTGAGGCCCAGTGTAAGGTCTGAATATGTTTCTTCACAAAAGGATGTAAAGGGCTGAGAGCAGAGCCTTTTCTTCCCTGAGAGCAGTTCTGATACAGGGATGCATCTGAAGGGGGTGGGGTGGTGCTGGCCCAGAGGAACGTGGCTGGGGCTGACTGGATCAGGTCCTAAGAACTCTGTAGTAGTGCAGAGATTCCCAGTGATGGAGAGAACAAGGCACTTGGGGTAGGACCACAAAGTTTTAATCAAACAGAGCAAAATGGCCGCAATGCAGAACAGGTAGTGCTTGGAGAAGAGAAAGAAGATCATCTCCTTGGTGACATAGATTATGTGTATAAAGATGAAGCAGTACAGGAACATGGCAAACTGGTTCTGGGGGAGCAGGAGGTCCTGGAGGCCTCCTGAGAGCTGTGGGGGAAAGAAGACAGGATGCTGGCAAAACCAGGCCTTAGACTCCAGGGCAGACTTATGCCTGCTCTCATACTTTCTTCACATGACCTCGGACAGGTTGTCTTCCTCACTGAATGGGAGGGTCTCAGTGCCTACCCAACATGAGGAGGAGGAGGAGGAAGAGTAAGGCATGAACTGAAAAATTCCTAGCAAAGGAAACTGGCACATAGAGGGAATTCACAGGCTCTCCTTCTTAAGACTGGTCTTGTTGCTCTTGACTCAACAGCCAGTACTTTCTTGCCTCTACATTCCACATTGTCCCTCTGGGTCACATGATACGGGGATGCATCCGAAGGGAGTGGGGTGGTGCTGGGTGGGTGGGTCACATGATATAGGGATGTATCTGAAGGGGGTGGGTTGGTGCTGGTGCTGGGACTAGGGGTTATTCGCTGGACACTCAACCTCATTTTCTAAACAGGGACACAGGGAGAGGGGGTGTCTTGGGCACAAATAGCTGTCACTCTCTGGGGCTTGGCACATCTGGAGCCTGACATGGAGTCTGTTCATGATTCTGCTGCCCAGGCTTGGTCAGCTTTGGGAACAAGTGGTGCGGGATGGGTAAGGGGGCCTACCTGAGCCCTCAGAGAAATGAGTGTGGAGAAAGCCGCTTGTGTATCTGCCTGGCTCTACCTTTGTATTGTTCTTCTCTGGTCTCTATGTAATTGAGGACCACTGGACCCCCACTTTAACTGTGGAAAGCATTCATCTATAAGAAAGACAAACTTGATAAAACTATTTTTGATCTGTTGTTTAGAAGGCATCATCCATGGTTTATTTTTAAAAATATTTTTAAAAAAATCACACCACATGTTTTGAAAGCAACCAGATGTTGGGAAATGTGCTGCCCTAAACTAGCCAGAGATACACTCACAGGGGGATATGTCAATACAATGAAATCCCCCCCGCCCCCGCCCCATCTATCCAGAAGGACAGAGGTGGAGAGCTTAAAAAATCAGCTCTCCATCTCCTGGGAAATGCACAAACATTAAAATACTCTTGTAAAATATTATCAAAGACTAGGGCTTGGGGCTTATCACTGTTAAAACAGCCACATAAAATGTGAGAGCAACTAGATAAAACCGAGGGGGCATAAAATGACCCCTTTGGTGCCACCTCAGGACAGGCTGAGACCAGACGAAGCAGCATTTCCCTGGGAGAACCTGGAGGGCTAGCAGATCTCTAGGCTCTGTGTGGCCCTGGGTCCATAGATGTCCTGCCCCATTTTCAGTCTACAAGTGTTTTTAATCTGAAATGTGGGTGGGGGATAATTGGGATTTTGTAAAAAAAAAAAAACAACAACAAAACAACACATGCATTTCCAAAGTGTTTTCAATGGTCTGTCTTTGGAGCAGAAGACAGAACAAATAGGTCTATATGCCAAGGTTTCTAAATCCCCCAGCAAGGATAGAGATTTTCAAACTAAACAAATATGGTTGGGGGAGGCCCAGGCCAACGGCATCCGGCCACACCATGCCTATTTTAAAGAGTTTCAGGCTCCAACTTGTGACAAATATTATCCCAGCGTGCTAGGGAAAAGCCCAAAAGTCTGAAAATGAAACTTTCCTCAGAGAATTCAAAACTATCAGTGAATGTGCCAGAATCTTAGACTTTACTAAAATTTTAAAAGGGGGGGGGAGTGGATCCTGAAAGTCCCATTTCAGTGAAAATTATTAAGCCAGCATGTTTTCATTGAGGACAAATCATTCAAACTAACCTCATTTTCTTAAAAAAAAAAAAATCACCAGTCAATTGGGGGAAATACTATTAGTGTTATAACATCTTAATTCTGGGAAACTAACTGACAGTGTGTCTCAGGGTAGTTTTTTTTTTTTTTTTTTTTCTTTTTTTGGACAAGGTAGAGACATGTGAGGTGAGTAAAATGTAACTCCAGGGTGCTGGTTAGTACAGCATTGCTAAGCTGTTGGGTGTTCATCTAGTGGTATTTACTGTAGGTCATACCTTCCTGGACAATGACTGCAATGACTTGGACACAGGCAGAAGGAAAATTTCTCAGAACTGAGAATGACTCAGAGCTGGGAGGCAGAGCTAATACATTCCACCCTAATAAAATTGAAAAGTGATGAATGTAAGCTGTTGCATTTGGGTCAAAAAGTGAACTGCATGAATACATAAAAATGGGAATAGCGAACATTTATTGAGCACTTAGCTAATGGGCCAAGCTCATTGCATTTTATCTTACCAGTGTTCTCATTTCATCCTCATAATGACCCCATGAGGTAGGGCTACCCTGCTGATGAGCAAACCCAGGCTCAAAGACGATCAGTAACTAAGTCACAAAGTTTGTATGTGGAAGAATCGGGATTTAAACCCAGAGCTGTCTGATGTCTGGGCCCAGGTAGCTCTACTTTACACAATAACACCTTTCATTATTTATGCTTATGATGCTAAGCACTTAACATCCCATTTAATAGCAGGTAGGCATTCTGAGCCCCATTTAGTACAGAATTAGGAGAGCGTAACCAATTTCCTGCCAAAAGGTGTCTCGGTTTTGATTGACAACAAGGTGTGTGACCCTACAGAACACATGTAGCCCTGATCAGGGCTGGTAATGGTTCTAGCAAAATCCACTGATCAGACTGCAGGAGGGGTTCTCCAGCATCATATTTTAAGACACATGGAGAGGAATGGAGAGTGCTGGGAATCCAGTCACAGAGGAAATGCTCAGGGCCCTGCTCCCCACCAACAATGAGGAAAGTCCCGGGCAGGTGGGTGGGCAAGGTCCCCAGTCTCTCCTGGGGTCAACTTTCTTTGGAGTTGGTTCCCAGCGCAGCGTGGAAGCCCTGGACCTCTGAGTAGCCCATGTCTGGAGCCAGGGTAGCAGCAGTGAGAGAGAGGGGCAAGGTGAACCCCTGGGACAGGCAGGGGTGGCCTCTCGGGCCCCACAGTCAGCCCCCAGGCCTCCTTCCAGGGCTGGACCTGGCATTTCCTAGCCAACCCTCCGAACTTCCCAGACACCTACCAGGCGGGGAGTTGCCTGCTGCTGCAGCTGCTCCATCACCTCCTCATGCTGCCTCTGGCGCTCGTTCTCCTCGTGTACGTACTTCAGCCGCGTGAGCTCGAACTCCATGCGCACCTTCTCCAGCTCCATCTCCGCATTGCGAGTGGTCTCCAGGCTCCCTGGGGTCTCGGGGGCTGCAGGAATTTCGGTGACTTCGGGTCCATCGCCTGCCTGGCCCTTGGTGGTGGGGCCAGCCTTGGGGGACAGCGACTTCAGCGGTCCTGGGCAACCTCTGTCCTCACAAGTCTCCATCTCCTCTAGATGGTCGTAGGAGGAGTCTGGCTTCGGGGTCTCTGCCTCCTGAGGGGAGAGGGGGGTGGGAGAGGATGCTGAGGGGTCACTATGGTGCTGACCCACGCCCACTCCTCCCGAATGGATGCTTTCTGTGGCCCTAGGTTCTTGAGGACAGTGGTGTTTGCAAGTGTTAGGAACTGTGAAGACCCAGATGGTGTGCCTATGGGAAATGCACTCACAGGGAGTGATCAGGGCCCGTGTGTTGAGCAGAAGTCTAAGTGACACAAAGGAATAGCCCCTGAGGGTGCGAGGGGAGGTGCTAGGGTGGAGGTAGAACTGAGGTCCGGTGATTTTTAAATTCCCACTTGATCTAACTTGCAGACCCAAGTGAAACAGCCAAGTGTACGGGTCCCGAAGCCCTGGTTCCCTTAAGAGAATGTAAACATACCCCTACCAACAAAAGGGTTGTGGAGAGGAGCTGGGACCCATCCACAGAGGGAGGAAGAGGCCCCAAATGGGGAGGCCACAGGAGGGGTCCAAGCCAGCTTCAGGTGACTTCACAATCCTCCACAGGGCCGCTGGCCGGGTTACACTGGGTGCAGCTGCGGACCGCGACCCTCCTCACCTGCTCCTCTGGCGGCTGTCTGACTGTCACAGCACTCAGCTCCCATCACTGAGCCCAGAGTACTCCTCCCACTCCCCTCCAGCACAGCCAGGACAGCGAGACCAGCACCCCCTTACCAAGGAAGCCCTGGACTTCCCTTCAGAAATGGGGTCGTCAGGCACCATCTTGGGAAAGGGCGGGCAGCTTTCTCCCGCCCCCCGGGCTTCCCTCATCTCCATGTCCTCTGTTGCCATTCAGAAAACCAAGTGGCACCAAAGGACATCTTTCCAGGCATCAGATTCCACAGCCTGGCTGCCATCACAATCCCTGGTCCTCATCATAATCCACATTCTTTTAGTTGCCAGGGCTTCTCTGCTGGAGGGTGGGGGCACCTTTGAGGTGTTATTAAGAACATTAGGGTGGGCCTTTGCCATCTGGGGGCTGCTTTTGGAAGAAGACAGCCTGGGGGGAACTGGGTTGACCTGATTGGTTGGTCCTCACCTGAGTGCTTGCGAGTCAGGGTATGACCCAAAGCAGATACACTGTGAAACAGCAACAGGGCTTGTTTATACAGGGACAGGGAGAGGCAGAAAGAGAGAGAGAGTGTACTTAGGTCTGGCACATGGCTAGATGTCACCTGTCCCTTCTAGAAACATCCACTGAGCAGAAACCAAGGTCCAAGCTGAAGCTGCATGAGACAAGCTGCATGTCTATGGTTTCTCCATAGACATGGCACTTTACCAGCTGCTTAACTGCCAAACCCCAGCAGATTTTACTGCCAAAGTCCCAGCAGTAAGGCCTCATTTTAACTCTTTTACCCCAGCAGCCCCCTTCCCCACTTGGGGTGGGTTTTGGAAGGCTCTACCTTCTACTATTGGGTTGCTATGAGCCTACCCGCTGGCTTTGAGGTTACTCCTCACTGTTCTTATAATTTCAAAATTAGAATCCTGCCACTTGAAACCCAGAGTACCATCATTTGAAATACCATTCCCTTGGGCTCCTATTTTAAAGGCAGACTGTCTTGGAATAGATCAACTAGCTCTACAAACTCTATGATGGACTATATGACCCCAAATATGTTGATGTTCTAACCCCTAATATCTCAGAATATATTTTATTTAGAAATAGGTTTTCATTACAGAGGTGATAAAGTCAAAATGAGGTCATTAGGGTAGCTCCTAATTTAACGTGGCTCATGTCCTTCATAGAAGAGGAAATTTGGACACAGACATGCACAGAAGGAAGAGGAAGTGAAGGCGAGGGAGAAGATGGCCTTCTATGAACCCAAGAGATATGTCTGGTATGAGTCAGCCCCTTCAGAGAAACAGAACCAATACATCACATATATCAGATTTATCGTAGGAATTGGCTGCGTGTTATGGAGGCGGAGAAGGGACATGATCTTCCATCTGTAAGCACAAGACCCAGAACAGCTGGTGCTCTAAAATCTGGATTCAGAAGGCCTGAGAACCAGGCCTTTTTATAAGTACAGTCCACAGCCAAATGAGATTTCAGCTCAAACCAGTTCGACCTTCTTCTGCCTTTCTGTTCAGGTCCTTCTCACCTGTATGGGAAGGCCAATCTGCTTTAAACAGTTACCAAATCAAACACTAACCTCTTCTGGACATGCCCCCACAAACTCGCCCAGAAATCCTGTTTAACTAGATGGGCATCTGATGGCCCAGTCAGGTTGATACATGACATGGACCATCATAGGCCTTGCTCAGCTCCTCCCCGCCTGGCCTTCAGCAGGAACTAACCCTGCTACGCCTTGATCTTGGACTTCTGGTCTCCGCTCTGAGTCAACACATTTTGTTGTTTAAGCCACTTAATGGTACCTTTATTATAGCAGCCTTAGCAAACTGATACACCCCCATTATTGTGGGGGACCAACAAGAGAGACTGGAAAATTGAGGATATACTTTGCCATCTTCAGATTTATGAAAATGACCATCATTTTTTAGCATTAGGAGGCAGGGTTCCATTGTGAGAAGGGAAAGGACTACGTGAACTCTAGCTTTGTTACTAGCTCTAGCCGTGTGTCCAAAGGAACGCTATTTTAGAACTTTAATTATAATTTAATTTTATTTCAGAGAGTTGTCTGATGCTCAGAGTATTCAGGTGTAAATGGGGATAAGAATTTTGCATCTCCCTTACATTGCAGCACTGATGGGAAAATAAGTGTGTATTTTCCCACCATACAGAGGCTGAGTAACTTATAACCATTCAGCATGTCCATTGTTGTAGGGTGGGCTTGTCGTGGAGAGAGGAGGGTGCTTAAGATACACACTGCAGATCTTTCAACTCACCCTGGTTTCCTCTCCCAACCTGATGATGGAGACCACAGGACTCTCTTACAGCTGCTGCAGATGTTGATCCTGCATCCAGCACTAGGCATAGGGTTCCCAGGTAAATACAGGATGCCCAGCAAAATCAGAATATTAGATACATAACTTTTAGTATAACTAAATTGCATGGAATGTATTTATATTAGCAAAATTAATATAATTTTCTGTTTATTTGAAATTCAAATTTAACTAGGCATAATATAAACACATACATACATATATATACGTGCACCACATACATGTGTGTATGTAAATACACACATATATATCCTATATATACATATATATATCCTACATAGGATATATATATATCCAAATATCCAAAAGGGCAGTTTATTGTAAAAGGGAGAGAAGGGTATAGAATGCTTGTACAGTCACAAGCAGAAAGAGCTGCCCCCCAAAGGGACAGTTTTGCTAAGAGAGGCTTGCACAGTCACAGGTGGGCGACCTTGGGAGAAGAGACATCTCTGCTGCCTTGCAATGGGAGAAAGTTGGTGAAGAGAAACACTGCACAGCCACAGATGGGCAGAAGGGCTGCTGCTGGGATCCTATTTATTTATTTATTTATTTATTGCTATATTTGATTTGCCCAAAGAAACACATTGATCAAATAATTAATTATTAAAAATTACCAAGTACTGAAATATATTGTAGTGGTAGTTTTATAAGCTGCATAGCAAGCAACCATGAAATCTCAGTCGTAGACAAATATTTACCCTAGACATTTCAGAGCTGGCTGATCAAGGCTGGGCAAACTGGGGGCGTGCACAGCTATATTCCATGTGCCCCTCATCCTCCTCTTGGGAACAGTGGGAACAGTGGCTAGCCTGCTCCTTTAATGTAATGGAAGAGGCATAAGTGACTCAAGAGCTGGCACATTATCAGGGGCCTCCTCGGTGGCACAGAGGTTAAGTCTCAGCACTGTCACTACTATAGCCCGAATTCACTCCCAGGCCAGGGAGCTGACTCACACCCCAGCAGACCTCTCCTGTCTCCCTTTTGCTCCCCACAGCAGTGTATTTCAGTAGATCCACCTGTTCTGCTCCCCACTATCTCTGGTGAATCCTCTTACTGACCGCCACCCCTCTCCCGCCCCCCCACACTGTGTTTCTGGCCGACACTCCAATTCTTCTATAAATAAATAAATAATAATAAAAAAAAAACCTGGTACACTGTCACTTCCATCTGATGGGCATTGGTCACTAATACAAGATGGCTAACCCAAGGCCAAAGGGTGGGGACCTGCACTCTCCTCTCTTAGCTGGAGGAACTGCAAGGACATGAGGTAAAAGGCCTGGAAGTGGGCAGGATGAAGCGTGCCTGAAAGGCCAGCTCCCATCCAGTGGAGAAGGTCAGTGCCAGTGTGCTTTGGAGCAGGGGGAAGGGTTTGATGGAAGACGCGACATGAAGGTGGGTGGGACTTGGGCAAGTGGAGGGCCCTGCCTGGGCAGTCCCCAGGAAAAGGGAGGTTGCCGGTTGCCAGCCCACCCAAGGGAAGGTGGGGCTGAGCTGGGAGAAGAAGCTGGAGAGGAGACTGAGGAGGAAGGAAGCAGGGTGGAGAGCCAGGAGGAGACCTGAGGGAGGAGCAGGGAGCAGAGACCTGTGAAGAAGCTGCACTTGCTTCTTGGCCCTGGACTGAAACAGATGTGGGTGAGAGACCGTGGGGAGGTGGCTATGGCAGCTTTTATCTTCATTTTGACTTTGCTCTGTCCCTCCCAGACTTGTCTGGCTGTTTCTGACGCTTTTCTATGGGTCCCCACTCTTTAGATCTGGGGTAGGCTTTCTGGCCTGGCTTTGGGCCACTGCTGTTTAGGGGGACATTTACCCATGAGGGGTTGGGTAACTTTGGGTGCTTGATTTGGAAACTATATTCTTTGTCTTTTCTGAATCACACTCTAATTGCATTAAAGTTCCTTTCCATTAAAGCTCTTATATGTTTTGTCTTGTGGCGGATGGCAGAACCTATTTAGAGCAGGCGGGTGTGAGGGCTCTGACTGCCCCCTCCCTGTCCTCTAGCACATTTTGTTCTCTATTTCTGCCCTTCTCCACCTGCCATTTCCCTAGGAGGCTCCACAAAACTGCATTCGTTCATTAAGCAAAAGAGTGTATTTCAAAGCAAAATGGTAAGATCACCCCTTCCAAGGTAAGATCCTCAAATGTACCCTTCAGGGTGCAGAGGGAAGTTGGGGAGATAAAGTTTCATGCGCCCTGTTTGTCTCTCCTGGCAGTATGAAAAGTCTCCTTCAACTGAGAGCTGAGAAAGGAGGTTGTAGTAATGAAGTTGACTTGGCGAGGTGTTGGGTTCTGACAGTGGGGTCCTTGGGTTAAGTCTGGGAAAGTTTCCCCAGAGCTCCCCTTTCACAGCCCTGGTGCACTTCCCGGGCAAGTTTCTTTGCAAGACAGAGGTATTACTTTGATCCAAAAGGGAAGGTTTTTTGTAAACAAGGAGAGAAAAATGAAGAATACTTGCATAGACAGGCAGGTAGGAAGAGCAGCCCCCCAAAAGGACAGGTTTGTTAATGGGGACCCCTGCCTCATCACAGTCACAGGCGGGCAGCCTTGGGAGCTGCCTACGATGCTTTGCAAAGGTAGAAGTTTAGCCTTGAGGATCACAGGCATAGTGGTGGGGGTGGGGGTGGGGTGGGGTGTTGAGAGACATCTGCCCCTCCCCGACAGAGATTGGTGCATAATCACTATGAGAGTCTGGGAGGGGGGTTTCCTTCCTGTGCAGCTTTTGACTTTTGTTAACGTAATTCTAGGGTGTGACTAGGTTGACTCTTAAGGACCTGTGGTTCTCTAGAATGGCCCTCAGTCTCCACATCCCACCTCTTCTCTGCGCCTTGGAGTACTTTCTCTAGCAGTCTGATAACAGTCCTATGGGAGGACTTTTCAATTCTACAGCCGGA